CCCCCCCCCCCCCCTCCACACTACTATTTCTTATTGAGACGTTTAGACTGCTATTAGGTGGTGAGTATAAAATATATTACAGCCCTTATTTTCACAAATATGCCCGCTTCTCTTCCACCTACGCTTGATATGTCTTCAGACTTTCTGGCATTTTAATGTATTACTAGTGGTAGTATTTATATACAAGATACGGACAACGCCGTGACGACAACATACATATATAAGCGTGTCACCAGTGCACCCCTTACATATCAACCACCGTAGCACGGCTCTTGACCTTGCCGGTGTTCCTGTACATCTGCGCAGCATTCACCATGAGGCGACCCCTGTCATCCGGCCCGGGACCAGCCATCAGCCACTTCCACAACACGCTCTCCACGCCTAGATACACCAAGGCCGCCACATCTAGCCACTTGGCGTTTGGGATTACGACTTCACGTATGGGACCGACGGGCAAGGGGCGGCTAAGAACGCGCTCGTAGGCGGCCTGAAAATCGTCAAAATAGACGGGCTCGCATCCCGCTCCAGAGTGGACATGACCGAACACGTGGAGGCGGGGTTGGACTCGCCACAGTTCACGGAGGAGGCCGGGACAGCCGAGGCCGATGTCGCGATGATGCTTCTTCGCTTCGTCAGTCCCTTCTTCGTCTTCCTCCCTTCTTTCCTTCCACTCCATTTTCTGCTGTACGTCACTTCTTTATGGCTGTGCAGCAGTGCCTCGGGGGTAAGGCGAAGCTTCGATGCAAAAGGTTGAAACTTACCGGGGGGGTGTGGGTGATGAGGATGTCTGTCTGGGGCGGGACTTTGCTGAGCCAGGGATGCTTCTCCGGAGGATACTGGAAGCTGATGAAAGACGGGACGTTAGGCTCTTGCGAGGGGGGGGGGGCGGGATGAGACGAGGCGTCCGAAACGGAGGGTGTAGGATGGAGCTCACGCAAAGCTGCTAGGGCCACACTTGGGGATGTCGGGGGCGCCGAAGATGGACAGGCGACGGCCGTGGATCTCGTGGACGGACTGCTCGCCCTCGAGATATATCAGCCCCTCGAGGTTGACCTCTGTCTCGGCGTCCGAGGCGAAGCGGGCTGTCCTGTCAAACCACGAGTCGTGGTTGCCGGCTACGACGACCTTGACCTGGTGAGGCTGGGCCTTGAGCCAGTCGACCTGGGTCTGGATGTCGCGCGCCAGCCCGCTGTCCGTCAGGTCGCCGGCGTGGATGAGCACGTCGCCGCTCGGGACGTCGACCGTCTGCTCGTGTGTGTCCGAGATGCACACCACGCGTATGGGGTGCCTGCCCTGAGGCGGACGCAGCACGGACGATGCCGGGCTGAGGCTCAGCGTGCGGAGGAATAATACGACGTGGTAGATCAGCGTGGCGACCAGGTTGAGCGGTGAGACGAAGAGGCTGTCCAGTAGGGTCGGGGGTTCCCATTGGTTTGGACGGCGGAGGCCGAGTAATTGGAGGAGACCCATGACTCTAGGGAGAGTTTTCGAATGGGTCGGTCAGCTGGTGGTGTGTAGAATTATGGATGGAGAGAGGTAGAGAGAGAGAGAGAGAGAGAGAGAGAGAGGTGTAGGCGCGCGGTTGGATGATGGAGGTCTGATTGTTCCAAAGACCCCCGCTGATGTCATTCTCTGAATATTACAGTGGAAGCAATTGGCCCAATAGCCTTAGAGGGATGCAGCACAGTGGAGAGGTCCCAGTGCTCTATCGTCTGGGGGACCGCAGTAAGAGCTTGGCCGAACCGAAGGCCGTCCCTACATACATCAGTTCAACATTTCCGGAGCTCGGCAAAGCCTTGATTGAATCGATGTCGTGGTCGGCTTGGCTCTTACATTCCGTCCATGTAAGAGTTCTAGAACTAGCTGTCACCCGTAGCTGTATGCTCTACTCCGTCCTGTCTGCAATATCATTTCTATACATACCCGACCATCACTATCCGATCGGCAGTTACCCACTTGGGAGCGCCTTCCCATCATAGTCATCTCAACAGCACGAACCGATGCAAGTACAGATTGATACCCTGACAAAAAAGGACTGTGGCACCCAAGATTGTATATGACTAAGCAGCTGGAGGCTGCTGCTACACTACTCACATCTATAGATAACCTCATAGGTAGATTGTCTTCATCGTCGAGTTTTCGCCTGCACGGGACAGACGTGGGGGGTGCGGGTGCCCCTGGCGAGGTCTGTGCCTAATGCGTGGGAGAAGCTGCAGGGCGAGGTGTAATATACCATGGAGTACGGGATTCCATGCTTCCAATATACGAGGGCTCGACCAAGCTGGCATGCGACGTTGAAGGTACGTTCAACGGCACGCATCTATCCCGATCCCACGCGGACATGCACACGGTCGGACGCGATTGCTACGCAGTCGTGGTGGAAAGCGCATGCCCTTCGTGATCACTGGACCGTGCGACCGGTACGCCGCTGAATAGGCTGCTCCCGCTGTCGGGTCACTCGGAGGTGCATAGACGCAGACTGCTCGTGGACACTATCGGCGTGCACGAGCAGCTGCGGACATTGGAGTTCCCGGCGGCAGGGTCGCTGACGTCTTTGTGCCGAACCACGCAGATCTCCGTGCAGCCGATATCTTGGTCGACGAAGCGACGCTGGGCGTAACTTCTATGATTGACTTGGAATGGACGTACACAGTTCCAGTGCGCTTCCTTACCCCAGAGATGATTGGCTTCCACGGAGAGCTGGAGGAAGACGAGTGCGGCCGATTTACGAGGCAGGTCATGGAGGAGGCACGCCAGTTCTGAGAAGAGCAGAGACGGTCTATCAGAAACAGATATGCCGACCTCGAGACTGCTAAAGCCGAACAGGGTTGAACTAGCATTTATGAAAGTATGCAATCAACAATGACAACGTCACATGAAATTGACGTCCCACTACGGAAGGTCTCGGCATGCCTATGTCGGCGATCACAGAATCGGATTGTTGCTGGCCAACATCCGCCGACCTTCAGACGAAAGAAAGCACATGCGGTTATGAAAATCGGGTTTGAGGGTCTCGATAGAGTGCCCGCATTTCAAGGGAAATGTCTCATCCCGTTCAGGAGAAATCCGTACCTCGATTTCATACCCTCGGTGTGTCGGCACCGTGTCGGCGCACGCATAGAAAGGCAGATCCCTTTATTCCCGTCAAGTGCGATCAGCCAACCGACTTACAAGGCATCTGTCGGTGCCGATCGTCGTGGAATTGGACGGAATTGCCTAATCGGGAAATGGCCATCGGCCGGGCACCAACTGCCGCTCCGAGACTGTGTCAAGGCAGCAAGTTAAAGAATGGCATGGTCTCTTCCTCTGTCCGGGTATTTGCTGTCCACAGTTCAGAATTCATGGCCAGAAAAAACAATGGCCGCGAAATCAGCTGCGCAGCGTCTGAGGGAGCTCCTCGCCGACAAGTCGAAGCTCACCAATGGCCCCGGCGTCTACGATGGCCTCACAGCTCGACTGGCTTCACAAGAGGGTTCTGAATGTCTTTGCACGGTACGTTACGATTTTTTATTTTTATTTTTATTTCTATTTTTGACACTCTCGACAACACGCGGCCATGACTGCCTCTCCCGACCGGACAGTCCCATTGATCGCGGACATCGGGCTACGGCGGACCCGCTTGCCGTCGCGCGCACGGTGCGGTCATACATGACGGCCGGGGTGGCAGCTCTTCACCTGGAAGACCAGGTTGCCACGAAGCGGGCAGGGTCGATGCCTCGGCTGCACAGGGAGTCGGGAGCCTATCTGAGATGTGCGGGTTGGCGAGGTGCGTCAAGCCAAGCTCGATGCGGAGGCTGGAGGGGTGACGTATAAGAATGCTTGAATATGCAGGGGTGAGATGTGAGGTTGGGTGAAGACGGGTAGAGGCGCATCGATATTCACATAATGGCAGTCTTTATCTGGAGTTGCCGGATGGTGACGTATTCTCCTCTACCGTCAAATCTGGGGGTGGTGGGGAGGTGGTTTATGTGGAGTGGGCACCGGGGCAAAGCGTCTTTTTCTACACCAACCAACAAGCTTGGTATCGTGGAGCGTTCTTGAGAGTGTGGTGAGCTAATGTATATCTCATCGGAACCCTTCTCTTGCTATCGATACTAGGAGATGGTGAAGGGACAAAAGGTCGATGAGAGGACGAGAGGGATGAAATGTGCCGAATGCCTGCAGGGTAACCGCTCTCGAAGACGGACAGGGGCTATTGCAGTGATACCGATACAGGCTAATACAGGCTAATACAGGATACCCGCTGCCGAAGATAGAAGCAAGACGGCAACGAAGCGGGGACTGGACCGAGTCGAGGGTCGCGACGAGGGCCAGGGACTAACAGAGGACAGCTGAAAAGAGTCCAATAAAATGGACCCCGCCGGCTGAGCGGTGACGCAATGACCTCAAAGCTGTGCATACGTAGATTACGATGATTTATGGACGAGTAACTCTTTTTTAGGGCTATACTGAATTCATCATCCGTGCAGCAGGCTGAATAACTAGTCATCACTGCCATGTATTAGCTTGTGATAGTCATCGTACAGAGAGCGCTACTCGTACAGCTACTGACATTGGTCTGGCCATGACGGTCTGGACCTCTGATGACCTGATCCCAGCGTTTACTTCTCTCTCACTTCTCCCTCACTTCTCCCTCCCTGACCTCTATTACGCGTACTCCATCTTGTCTCCTTGTCTCTCCCCCCCCCCCCCCACGTCACCAGAAGAGAAATAGCTTCATCACTTCTTCCCCTTCATTCTCTTCTCTCTTTTTACTTGATTTTTGAACAAGCAC